CCCTACATGGTTGTATTTTAAAATAAAAGGGCAGTGAAGCTGAGCAGGCAGTGCAGAAGCCATCTGCAGAGGGCAGTCAGCTCAGCCTGCGCACGTGGCACCAAGCAGTTTGCCTTTCCATACAGGAATTCCAGTGCTGGCCTCAAGGCACCAGTAATACTTGCAAAACTGACTGGAAAACTTACTCTGCTTTCTCAAAAAACCTCCCCATAGGAGGCATTTAGATACCACAAAGTTCTGGTATTGAAAACACTACTGCAGACAACCAGGAACATCTGACTTGAGAACAGTGTGTCCTAATGCTTTAGAGACAGGAGGGAAACAGAGGTTAGGTTGAAGACAATTGAGCAGCTAAAAATGCTTAATATTTGCCAAGGAAGCAGCGTCTGGAGAAGTTGTGTTTGCATGTGGAGTGTCCTAACAAGGGCAGGTGGTTGCTGATCCTGCCCTTCTTCTCCCACAGGTGACAACAAAAAGAAGTAACTTCCCTGCAGTTTGTGAGTGTGGCTGGTTCTAGCTAGGATGGAGTCAGTGGGAAGGCCTTGGGAAAGCCCTGTGCCCATGGAGATCTCTGCAGTGGGCAATTCACCAAGGAGAACATGGCAGGGTGAGAGGCACAGAGATCAAAATCTTCTTCCTGTTTGTCTCTGAAGAGCAGAGGGAAGTTTGCAGAGAAAGCAAAGGCTGTCAACAGAGCTGATCCCTCAGCAGACCCAGCTGAGGATCTTTCCACAGTTTTTTTGCTGGGATGGGGAAAACACAAATGTCAGGAATACAATAGTAGGGTCACAAAATAATTTCCTCTGCCACAAAGGACACAGGCTGAAGATAGGGAAGCTCCCACACCTCTACCCTGCATCGCTCCTGGCTCTCCATGGGAACCTGCCTCTGTCAGGGAAATGCAGCAGGAACACAAAGTCCCTGAGAAGAGTTTAAACTCCCCAGTCCCTGGGAGTCTGGGGGCACTAACAACTGACTATCTAACTGGGTTTCAGGCTCCCACTGCAGGCACTGGGCTTGCCAGTCAGCAGTTAAATGCCAGGGAATTGTGCAAAAGTCCAGAAACACGTACTGAAAAGGTGTGAGGAGTTTGTTTGCTTTTCTTGTTTTAAGTGCTCTCTAGAAGGAGACATAACATTTCAGATGCAAATCCTGCATGACAGCAGGAGGTCTTGTGCAAAAATCCCTTTGTTAATACAAAACAAGAGCCTTTAGCTAACAGGCAGTGATCTACATCCCCAAGAGCTACTCGCCCCCATTCAGGAGGTGGTGGCAGGGTCTGCTTTCCTGGGCAACGTGCAGCAGGAAATAGTCTCCAAGAAATAAAACCAGCCTTTGGACTATCAAGTTTATTTGCAGTTGTCTTTGGGAAGGGGTGGGAGAAAGGAGGCTTGCTGTACTACAGATCACAGACTACTGTATTGAAAGGGCTGCTTAAGAGTGAGAGCCAGGCAGAAAGTGCAAGTTAAGCCTGTTATTTGAGAAATCTGAATAGCCAAAAAAACACCTCCTGGAAAATCAAGCCAGCAGGCAAAGTACAAGGACAAGGTGCTTCATGTCCATAATTTATCTCATAACAAGAGTGAGGAAGGTGTGTGTAAGCCTTTTGTCATGCCAGGAGTTGCTCTGGGCAGGTGCTCAGTCCTGTGCTCTTAGAAGGGCTCCAAAGGCCAGGGGGTCATGACACACTGGTGAGTACAGGTGGTCTTTGGAAACATGTAGCTACAAGTTGCAAGTCAAGAATGCTAGAACCGAGGAGCAGTCCGCCCTCAGACCTGAGATATCTGGTTGTTTTGCTGTGTTAGTTGCCCAAGGTAGAGGGCAACTGAGAAACAAGGACCCGAGAAGCTGGCAGTGAGTGAGGGCAGCCTGTGTCAGATTTCAGCCCTTTCCTCGTGCACCAGTCTGAGCAGGGATACTGAACATGGCAGAGCCCTGACGGGACTAACACACCCACAGAGGGCACCTTATTTCCTTTGGCTCATACAGGGTCTTCACGTACAGACATAAAAGACCTGTGCTGAGACTCTGCCCCTGAGCCTTGGTGGGAACACTAACTCCAAGTGGCTTCATTAGGACCAATTGCTTGTTGTATTAAAATAGAGACCAATATTTGTATTTGCTGTTTAGCAGAGCTTAAGCCTGTACCCCTCTTCCAGCAAGCACAGCAAGTCTTTTTGTCTGGTGGTATCAGGTGGCTCATCTTTATCATTCCTGTGATGTTGACTTGACTTACAGGGCTGTTTAACATCAATTGCATCTGGTGTAATTAGTTCTCCATGTTCCCCAAGGATATATATACACACACACTGTGTGTCTTGCTGGGTTTGAGGCACGACTTGAACAAGCAGAGTACACACTGCCAAAAAGCAGGGCAGGCTGCAAGCAGGGGCAGTCCTTAAGTCTAAGTCATAATGCAGAGAAGATTTACTGGTGGGTAAGAAGAGCAGCCAGCAAGATTTTATAGATGTAAAAAGAAAAAAAACCCAACAAATCAGTCTATTTGCCAGTAACGTCCCTGCCCCTCAGGGAAGGGCTTCCAAGTACTGTGCTTTGCCTTAGGGAAAAAAGTAACAACTTACTAGGAAAATGCAACATATAAATGGGCAATAGTCATCTTATACAGTTGGACAAGTCCAAACAGCTGAGTGTTTGTGCTAAGCACACCCTTCCCAGAGCACTCCTCGGCTGTCACAGTGACTAATTTGCTAGAAATGGCTGGAGGAACATTCCTTGGGGATCCATAAAAATAGACACAGCACAGCCATGAGACTGCCCTGGCAACACAGGCTGCCTGGTCAAACCATTGTGCTCAGGCCCCCGGCAGAGCCTGCTTTTAAAACCACACGCTCCAGGTTACCTGAGGAGCTGCTCCTTCTTCCCTCCCAACGGGCCAAGCAGAACTGCCAGGGGCTGGGAGAGGATTCAGCTCTGGAGTGTCTGAGCAGGCTCGGCCTGTCTCACCCTCCCCGGGCAGGATGTCTTAAGAGAACACCAGGGTGAGACCACGGATGAGCCACCTCCGAGCTCTGCATCCCTCTCCCAGACGGGGGATCTCCTGCTTCCACCAGCTCCAGCATTTTGGTAACCTCCAGGGTTCAGGAGTTCCCTTGAGACTGAACCTCCCCAAGCACGGGCTGATGTTGCCTCAGCAGGAGAGGACCCTCCACGGACCGGGAACGGCCCCAAGGGAACTTCCCTATGGGAACAGTCCCAACCGGCCCGATAGCTCCTCAATTCCCAGAGAAGCAGCAGCGCAGGCCGGGAAGCACGGGATGCTGCTCGGGGAGCCTGGCGGGACGGGGGGGCCTGCCCCCG